ACTATTTCCCTTCCTCTCTCAGTTCCATGTTTATTCACTGGATTTAAAACTACTAACATGAAGCCGACAATCCACAGCAAAAAGACTCTCATTTCACAGCTGTTGTATCTCTGTGTACACCCCACTCATATTATCAATTAGCAGGGAGGACAGTTTCCTTATTGCTACCGTAGCGAAGCAATCACCAAAGTATTCAAAATTCAGGGCAGGCTTTCCGGGAGAGGAATGTTTTGATTTTGTATACAGTGTCTGGCTAGCTGTCAGGCAAGAAGACTGACTGGCAGCTTGAGCGACGGTGTTTTCAAACTGTGGTGGGTGCGCTCGGCTTCAGCGGCCAACGCCTGCCCCTGGAGGATGCACAGCACCATGTACCTGGGAAGGGCTGGATACACAGCTTTGTGCGAAGCATGGGGGGGGTCACCAAGAAACTAATGCAGATGGAACCACGGATCTCTGAACACAGATTTGCCATGATGCTCCTGCCACAAAGGAATCCGAAGCCACACTCACCCATTTAGAGCCGTTGAAACCTGTTCTAATAAAACTGCAGAGGGAAGGGAGGACCTGGGTTGCAATTGCTGAGCAGATTTCATCTGGCAGTACTGCAGTAGCACCCAGTTAGAAGTGGCTTAAGGCAGTGCTTATAAGAAGATGGTAGATGAGCACTAAAGCCGTTATGTATTTCTACCTGAGAAATACAAACATTAAATTATGGTACAAACCAACCACATGGACTCAGCAGGTCCAAGCAACAGTGTTCACTAAAAACTACTCACAACAAGCGAAGACCGGTCATGAAACCATTGCCACGTATTATGGTGCTGCTGCAACGGGCTTCCGCAAGAGGAAATGCGCCAGCACCCCGGAGGAGAATCTTAAGATGCTACTCACAGGTCCAGCACGATACAACAGCAGCAAAAGGTGTGACTGTGAAAGGTATTCCTCGTGGTAACATGTCGGCATTACACTCTGGGTGAATTCCCAATTAATTGCAATTTTTGTATGAAAATACTCTTTCTGTTATATAAACAGAAGTTCCCAGCAATAACAAAACATAATGTCTGACTTCAGCTGATGCCAAATGTTTAGACTTTATTGGACACCTGTCTCAATATTTGTTTTAGCTGTCACTTGGTGGGACTGTTACAGATTTTATACTTCATCTCTGTTCATTCTAAAATATTTGCCATTACGATGCCCTAAGCGAAGCTATTGATTGCTCACTCTTGCCTACTTTATACAGCTAAAACTAGATTCCAGCTCATAAGAACATGCTAAGATCTCCAAAGATAAAGAGTCAATTATCATTTAAAACTTTGAATCTGAACAAACAAGCCCCCAAACCTGTAAGCAGCAGCCTAATTTTACTACAAAGCATACCTAGAGGCCTGTATTTGCTGTGAGACAAGCTGTAAGACTTCCTTTAGGAATTGCTCTAAATCAGGGCTAATAATTTAAAACACGAAGTAGCGACAGGAATATCATAAACAGACAATCCAAATGATAAATACACAGAAATTTTTCCTGGTTTAAATGTGCCAGAAAATAGACTGTTCTGAAGCTATATAGAGATATTCCATAAGTAAAAATATTGTCTCACGGTTTTTTTTTTTCAGTTTTAGGGATCTGATAAAAAAGTGAAATTCAATTCTTTACTGAGGTTTAAGGGAGAACATAAACACAATTTTTTTGCTCTTATTTAATTCAGAATATTTCTATAGACTTAATGAAACTGTAGCTCATCTACAGATGGAAATACGAAATCTGCAGATCCCAGTGTTTCTGATTGCAATCTGACTTCTAACTAATGGGTTGTGATGCTAAGAAACTAAGGAGTAAAATGATAGCGTCAACCGAACAATTGAGACTTTATGCTTAGATCCCTTGTGGAGCAAGAGCTTTTTTATCAAGAGCAAAACTGATTCTCCCTCTGTATAGTACCTCATACATTGCCAAAGTTGAATATTGCATTAATGTCATTTTAAGACTGTGGATCATAGAGGAAAGAACAAGATACAGAATTTAGGTAAAGTAGAGCTATTTTACGCCTTCAGCGGTTACCCTCACATTTAAATGCAGAATTATATAAGGCTGTCATTTGGATGCAAAAATGTTCTCTTACCACTTCTCCAAACAACAGGGAAGTTTCTGTAATTACAGGAGATTTGCTGGCTGGCGTGCCACCTGCAGCGATGCCGAACAGGAAGGGGGCCAGCCATCCTGAGCCTGTGATGGACCTGCATGCTGGCGAGTTCAGAAACAAAGCCTGCACAAAGGAGGCAGCGTGCCACAGCAATACAGTATGCTGTGCCAGTTATCATAGCACGGCAGAAAGAATAAAAAGGTAGTTTTAAGACTAATTCACTAGTCTTATCATGCGTGTATCTGTCATTGCGTCAAGCAGGTATTTCATTCCCCATTTATTGGAAAGAAGGAAAAAAACCCCACAAAACCCCAAATCCAATGCATCTTCTTCCAGGTTCTCAACCCTGACTTCCTGGAAGCCCAGCTGAGGGGCTCCACAGGTGAACTCTAACTCAGGAAATCAGCATTTTCAAGTCAAACACATACTACCCCCAGGTGAATCATTAGGGAAGACACCAATGACTGGAAAAGAATTGAAAGTCTGTTTTTGCTCTTTGCACCATCTGGAAACCATCTCCATCTGGAGATAGCATGAACTTAAGTTTTACAGGGGCCTCCTCCTCATCAAACATATCAGTTTGTTTACCACAGTAAATTAGCATCTTGGGGAACTCTTCTTACTCTGCACACAGCCAAACCACAGGCTAACTAAGGCAACATCATCACTTGATTACATGCAAGTTTATACAATTCCATGGCTTTTCCCAACTCTTGCCTCCTCAACAAGTGAAGTATTTTTCTGAGATTCTTACAACAGCAACTGCACTATCAACTGCATTCCCTTGCTGTGCTGCCCTCCTTCACAGGGGCTGCAGTTTCCCTGGCTTATACTGTTCTTTCCCTTAGTCCAATATCCAATAACCTTAACTGAACTACATCCAACTTGCCCCTTAGAATGCGATTCAAAAAAAACGCTCTTCTTTCTAAGATGTGTAATGTCTGTAACACAGCACTGATTAGTGCTAAATTCAGGACGTGGTATACACCACTGCAGACCAGAGCCATGGGGGAAGGCTCCGAGCCCACCACAGCCCCTGTTAGAGGTAGGCCAGGTAGCTGTACTGTGTGGGATACTGGACAATGCGGTATGTGATCCCTCTGATTAAGGTGCTGCTGCAATTATCAGGATACTGTTATCCATCAATAACTGCTTCTTCCAGGATCAGAAATGTGAAGTGAGAAGGGGGACACATACAACACTTCAGTCAGTTCTTTGCTGTCACCCTGTCAGCAGACTTAGACCCCTCTTCTGCATGCAATACACTGCAACCTGTTGGCTTAAAGTTAGGGTGTGAGAAAAGTGGCTTTGGAACTGTTTTGAAAAGTGTTTCCACTGTTATCTTTCATTTTCACTCTGCTTTGTCTTCAATTATTTCCTTTGTTCTTCAGATTCCTTGAGCTCTTAAGAGTTCTCACATGGCTTATTCACTCTTAGCCCTAGACCTCATTCTCCTGGAATCAGTTTCTATGTCATTGCTCTCACCTCCACATTTCTTCTTTAGTAACTTTTTTGTTTGTTTGTTTTAAATCTTGCCCTTTCTTCAGTAGGATTTGGGATCAAAGTCTTGATAGATCAGAGCAGTTTCCACATTATCAGTATACAAGCTAGGCCAGAACCAACACAATTTCTTGTCTCAGAGCTTGTACAACAGATATCAGACTTTAAAACTACTCAGCAGTTCACAGATATGAATTAAGACACTAGTTCAATGACTGCCAGCGAGTAATAATTAGGATTTCTGCCAAGTTCATAGAGTCATAGAATCATTTAGGTTGGAAAAGACCTTTAAGATCATCAAGTCCAACTGTTAACCCAACACTGCCAAGTCCACCACTAAACCATGTTCCTAAGCACCATGTCTACATGTCTTTTAAATACCTCAAGGGATGGGGACTTTACCACTTTCCTGGGCAGCCTGTTCCAGTGCTTGACAACCCTTTCAGCGAAGAAATTTTTCCTAATAACCAATCTAAACCTGAGGCTGCTTCCTATCACTTGTTATTTGGGAGAAGAGACTGACCCCCACCTCACTACGACCTCCTTTCAGGTAGTTGTAAAGGGCGATAAGGTCTCCCCTCAGTCTCATTTTCTCCAGGCTAAAACAACCCCAGTTCCCTCAGCCGCACCTCGTAAGACTTGTGCTCCAGACCCTTCACCAGCTTCGTTGCCCTTCTTTGGATGAGTGTTTAACTTTAAAAGTTAAACCTTTTAAAGAAAATAGTAGTCTACCAAAGAAAATCTTAACCACCTCAAGGCACTAAGACATTCTTTTGTTACCTGATAAGCAGAGACCCTACCATTCCAATATTATTACATACATTTTCTATTGTTACTCCTTACTTTAAAAAAAGAGGGAAAGGATAGTACGGCCTATAGAGCCCTAAAAACCTACACCTACATGCAAAGACTTCCACAATATTTTTCCAGAAAGTTATTCTTCAAACCAACACTCATTCTGAATCAGTACAAAAAAGAAGGAAAGGACTAGGGTCTGACCAAGAAAGCAAGAGTAGAATGCAGTATTATATTACTCCATAGCAACATGGAGAGAAAGCTGTCAGGTCAGGCAGGAGTGAAATCTCTCACAATTTCTGATTCCCAAGAGCCACTGAGAGTCATAAGAAACCATAAATCCTCCTGGAAAATTTGGAACAAGACAGCTGATTTTCAGGTTTTGAAAATGCTGCATGACGTACATTTGATCTGACTGAGGATCATGAAGAGTGTCGTAGTAGTAACTTTACTACTTATACAAATGCATGTTAGACAAGCCATGATAAAATCGAAGAGTATACTTTACTATACCTTTTCCATTTAATAAAAAAATTAAAGAATTAAAAATACAGGAGCATTTTTAAACCAACTAGAAAATAAGATGCACAGGAATGCGGAAAACCCCTCCATATTGTACAGATCTTCATGCACTAGGCAGTCCCAAAGTCAATCACAGATTCAGTTATGTACACAAGCTTAAAAATAAGTGGCAGCATTTTATTACTGTATATGTTTTTTCTTTTTAATAATCTGAGACTGCCTTAGTTCCTCAGTCCCATGAGCATAGGGGCAAGATTCAGAAGGCAAAGAACAACCATCGGGATGATGAATGAAAAACCAACAGAGACGTGTTTTAAATGCTTCAGCTGAAAGGCGTCGTTTCACTTCAGGCTTAGTTTTCCTTGATGGTTTCTCTTTTCTCCAGTCACGAATATGAACTCTCCCATTTAGAACTAAGATTTAAAAGCAAACAAAAATGCAGCTGTTAATAGACAGCCATGGGAATTGTACTGGAAAAAATGCATAGTGACATTCTGGGAATAAAATATATATTATACAAATGGATCATTCAGGCAAAACCAAATGTGTCATTTGTACAGAAATAGAAAGAAGTGCACAACAAAGCTAGAAAATATAGACACGGTCTAAAGAAGAATTGATTGATTTCCCTGTGACATGTTTTACTGTGATGCTGAATAGTTTGAGGCATCTTTGTAGAGGTTGGTTTGTTTGTTTTAAATATAACCGTTAGGATCATTTAGAGTAAAATCCTCTGAATTTAGATTGCAAGTCCCGACAAAGAAGTTTCAACTTCAAGAACTGTAATCCTTCCCATGTTCAAAACTTTATTAGTCCATACTTAAAATATGATTACCAGCAAAAATCTAATACAATTCTTGTACTACTTTCACTACACAGAAATGCTCTTGCAAAGACAATGGTTCACTGACCCAGAAATACAGTGCACCAAAGAGATGACAAGTCTAATCCTTCATATGAATCAACAGTGAACCACCACTGGTTAATAAAGATTTGACTTCTTTTAAATTTATTTGCTGTGTTTGGACCATAAACTGCACGCACATGTTTGTGAACCTCTGTCACCTCCTTAAATGTGTAAACAAAACAGAGTAAAAGGAAGGAAGTAAAAGGAAGGAAGTAAGAGAGAAAGCAAAAACGTAGATGAAAAACAACAGTGAAAATGAGGATGGAAGAATCTGCCACTTCGAAATTGCCATGCTCAATTTTCATATTCTGCGTCAATCATACCTTCTGTATCACACACTTGTAGCTTGGCATAGTTAACTGATACCATTCTGCATTCTGACAACCACTATTCAAAGGCTAACTGTTCCAGTGAAAGCATAATATCACACATTCAGGCCTGGATGAATTCATCCCTCCTGGTTTCCTTGTGATACACAAATAGATCTAAACTCATACAAAGCCAATCCAGAAGTGGGTTCAGCGATCAAGTTTTTTTTTTTTTTCCCTAGAATATCAGTCCAGTATTGGACAAGATGCCTGACCAAAAGAAACTGCCGCAGATCAGTTACTCTAAGCCCCTTTTGTGTGTGTGTGCATCCATCCATTTTCCTTATCTTTTAAAGAGAAACACTTGAGTAAAGATGAATGTCCTTCCAGACCACCCACTGGTAGAAGTCCCTTGTCATGGTGACATGCTGCTGAAGGGAAGAATCAAATGGCCTCTACTGAAGCTCCAGGGACTTTCCATGTGATGCAAATTACTGAGAAAGATTTGGCCTTAATCCCAGTCTTTCTTCAGAGGTAATGTCCAAATGTACAGACAGCATCCATGCCAAATTAAAATGTTCATTCCATGTAACAGGTTGTAGATCTATTCCACCTATCCCTAATGACAGGGAATCAAATTCAGACACATAATGAATGCAACGTGACCAACTCTTTTCAATGGATGATAATTCAAAAGGATTTCAGTATGGCTTCACATTTTATAATTGCCAAGTGTACAGAAATCCTCCATGGACGCTAAACTTGGCTAGGTTCACCACTGGCAGCAACTAGGCTGCACACTCAGCATGATTTGCCACGGATTAGTTCATCAACATTTTACAGCTGATGCAAGTGGTTGGGACATAAGAAGTTGACACACTTCCAAATCTTTAAGAAGCCTTAGATACTCATAAAACCAAGGTTTTATCTTGAAGATCTGGTATTACTGCAAAGCTAGACATTACTTTTGCAAAACTCCACACTGACAAAAAAAAAACCCAAGCAAAACCAACAAACCAAAACACGCCATCACCACATTACAAGAAGGGAACCCCCTCCCAAAGCCAGCTATCAACAAACACAGCCAACCACAGAAAATTGCTACTGAGTCCTTTCTGCCATGCTACCACAGGCTATATCAACTCATCAAGCCTCACAGTTACAGGTTCTTATGGAGACCAGATTTATTTTGTGTTGGCATTTACACTGTGGGGCTTGGTAAGACCAGACTAAGTCTCAGCTAAATGCTTTAGTAAATACTCCCTGCATTTGATGGCCCCAAAATCATCAATACTTTATAGAAAAATAAAAATTCTCTAAGTCAAATAACAGCATTAAATTATCCACTTCAACTAAAGGGTTGTCTTTTCAGATACAGTTGGTCTAGAACAAGTCTTTGCTGATAGATGCCTTACCAATCTCATTCAAGAGTTTTACTAACAGTATCTTGGAGCAATGGGCACAGAAAGCATTCAGTTTTCCACAAAGGAATAGAAAGCAGTTAAAAAAAACAACCCCTGTAGTAATTTTTCAGTTAACTGCATATAGAGAAGATAAAATAGGTGATTAAAGAAAAACAAAACACCAAAACCCCTTCTTTACCTTCAAAAACTTGATGATTGTTCTTGAGTAGTGTCTGCAGGCCTCCATATTCATTCTTTAGCCTTTTTAAAGTCTCTTTATTTAAGTGTTCTGCTACTTCTTTCAAGGAAAGGCTTTCTGCAATAAATAATGGTATATATAAATGTATATTATAAAAAATACTAATAAAATCTAAGTTTTATATAGATTAATGATTATGAGCAGAATCTATGAATTATTTACCAGTACTGCAGCAACTTTGTATTCCCAATATCATGCATAAGATATTTTATACGTATATTGTCTGTAAAACAGCACTTTCATTCTATAGGACTCAAGTCAGAATTTTCACATTTCATAAATAGGCACATTTTTTATTTTCCCTGCTTTTTTTACAGTAGCATATAGCCCTTATTTCAATCAGCACTGTTTACACGCATGTAGTTAGAGAGAATAGAGAAAGACTCTAAAGATCTCCTGTAATGGTAACATATTACAAACTACAGTGAGTAAATAATAAAAATGGACAGAGGAAAATGGAAAGATAGTAGTAGTGAGAATTAACTAAATGCTTTTAAAATTAACAGCTAATGCTATTCTTTTTCTTCCTGTGACTAAACTAAAAATTCCTAATCAAGTTGTAACCAAATGGCACTTCAAAGCACCTCTTACAGAAAAAAACTTACAGAATTTTTATAGCATTATAGCCAATTATTATGTAACTATCTAAAAAGAAACTTAATATTCTCCCCATACAGATATAGAATGTTTTGGTTTGGAAATGGGAAGGAGTTCTGGTTTGTTTTTTTAAATAAAAATTGATTCTGCCCTAGTATTTAAGTGTAGTGGGAAAAAACACACACCGATTTCAAAATATTCTTAAATGCCTTATTTGCATCCCAGTGTGCAATAAAACATAGTGGGAGAGCAAAAAAAGCCTTTGATTGCTACTGCACTGTTCTTGCTATTTCCTAAAATCTATTTCACTTACTGAATTTACAAACATAAATTCATTAGAAAAGATCCTCTACCAGCAAAAGATAATACAAAGGAAAGACAGTCTCACCTCCTTGATTCCACATATTTGTATTTCCACTGTGCATATTAGAACATGATTTTTGGGGGGTCGCATTTAACAGCAAGTTTGCCACATCGAGAACCACGTCATCTACAAAATCCCGAGGGAGTGAAGCACAATTTCTGATTTGTTCTACTTTTTCTCTGGGTTGAAATCCAGGCATCCAAATTTTACCAGCAGTATCAGTCTCATCTTCAGGAAGTTCTGAGCCTCCTTCTTTGCACACACCAGAATGATCCTTATGATTAAATCCAACTCTTCTGTCACACGTGACCACAGCACAGGTCTGACGATTGTTAATATACTGTGTTATCTGCTTGTCAATCACAGCACATTCTGTAGGTGGATAGGTCCTATTTTTTCCAATAAGGCACACCTATTTTAGTAGAAACAGGTAAATCACTATTTATAGAGTCCCATGCTTACACGCACCTCCCCAACCTGAACATGTCTTATGCAGGCTTCTAAATCTACCTACAGAAGATATCCATTCAAACTCAATGCTCATTAACATCCAAAGGTATCCAAATTTTAGTTTTCTTGGTGCCACAGAAGAAATCCAGTAATCAAACCAAAATCCATCATGCCAGACAAGCACAGAACAAAAAGATTTTTTCTGACCCTCAGATCATTTACAAAATTGAAGCTGGACACCTCTTCCTACTCTGAGAACATTTCACTTTTAATTTCACGGGACATGAAAACCAGCAGAGTTACATACAAATAAGCAACATAGGCAGCTGGAAAAATTAAGGCAAAAAATGAGTTTTATAAGTTTTCCATCCTATAGGGTGGCACAAGAAATAACCACAAACCCTTCCATTCTTTCTTGTTTTTCGGATTGCACCTATGACATTAAAAGCAGATTACCCAAGAAAAAAATGAGTATTTTTAGTCTCTCTTCAGAGCACATTGTCTCAAGTAATGCAACCGACTATAGCCTTAGCTTACAACAATAATAATGAACAAACATCCATATGCTTCAGACAGCTCGCAGCTTCTAAAGAAAAAAAAAAGAAAGACAAAAGCCCTACACAGTCCAAAATTACCCTTTTTGTTGATGGAATTCTAAGGCAATCTTCTTCCACATGGAAGCCGCATACAAATCCCACTTGTGCAACAAAATCAAGATATTCTCTGTACTGAGTTTTCTTGCTTTGTCTTCGGCTGTATTTTCCATGGAAATCAAAGAAGCAACATGGCAGCACAAAGTAGCAACACGAATAGGAAGACCTACAAAAAGGATAACAAACTGCTGAATGGAAAGTTATTTCAGAGAACACACAAATTTAACAAATAACCCATTAGATAAAAGCAATAATGGAAATGTTTATTAAGTGACAGAGCTTCATGAAATAGTATTTATATCCTCCTCTTTCAGTACATCTATTAGTATCATCAAAAACAATTGTTTCACAATGTATTTGCTATAGCAAATTACTGTGCCAACTTGGTTTGCAGGACTAAATCTCTACCTATTAAACTATTGCAGCTGCTTGTGAAGAGCACAACGGTTCAAGGAAAGGCAGAACCAACAGCAATTTAATTTTAAAAAAACCCCAAACAACAGATTCACATCTAAAGAATAAAAATCAGTTCTGTTTTTTGAACTTCAAAAGCAAAATCCTGTACTGAGTTCTATGAGAAAGTAAGTGCTACATCTGTGCTTCTCCACAGGAAGAGACACATTTCATAAAAACAATCAATTGGCATCAAAAGCAGCAAGTCCTGCAAGGACAGCAGTTGTAGCTGCAAAAGTGACAGTTTTCACCAAGCACACATAGTTACCTATGTGTGTTTTGTTTTGTTCTTTTAATTCCTTCCCTCCCCTCCACAATACCTAGCTGCAATTACAGGTATCCATGGTGTCAATTCATCGGAATGGTTTCCTATGAGCCAGTCAGTATCTGGAAAGAGATGACTGTCACCTGGCATGATTGTAGATTCCTAAAAAAACAAATAATACATTAAGTACATTTTATTACAGGTTTCTTTATTCACAGGTAAAATGCATTTGAAGGACTAAGCAACAATACAAAAATCATACAAGCTGACAAATACAAGGTGGATGAGAACCACAGACATCAACCACTATTTTCCTCAATCTGCACTTTTGCCAGGCAGTAATTTTTTATAGCTACAAAGAAGTAATTTAGCAACAGCTACCCACAAAATATCGGTCAAAGAGTGGAATAACAATTCTGATTAAGATAGCTGGCACACTAAATATTTGTAAACAAGTATCACACATTGGCTTACGATTTCTTGCCATTCTCCTTCTGACACATGTATGTCTGGACTCAATTTTTCATAAAAACACTTAATTTGCTATGTCTTACAGACCTAGGACTCACACAGCAATTAATCAGAACACAGCTTCACTACTACCTTCTCTTCTTTCACAGACCCTTCCCAAATCAAATTCTAATACACAGAACACCACTTTTCACACTTTATCATTCACCTATAATAAACCTAATCCAGCCTAAAACTTTCCCTTTTGTCCATGTTGTCATTCCATGCCCTTCCAAGTTGTGTCAAGACCACCTTATGAAACGTGCAAGATCAGGAGCAAAAATAGGAAACTAGGTCAGAGAAAGAAGGCTTCTTTGTTGGCCTTTAGAATAGCATTTTGCCTCATGGAAATTCAATATATATGGACTGAGGAGACATCAGCACAGAAGCCTTCCCACCACAATATTGACTCACAGAATAGTTATTAGTCTCAAGAATACCCTATTCTGATATTCTTAAAAAAACCCAAAACCAAACAAAAATCCCAAGCAACCAAAAACCAACCAAAAAAACTAAAACCAACCACCAAAGGGGATGAATTCTTCATACAGAAGAATTTTTAAAGTGCCTTTAATGTTTGCCTTTCTCACACACGTTTTCTTACCTAGAACTAAGTTCAGCAAAGAAAGTACTTAAAGATGTTGATGCTACGGAATTACATATAACATACTCTTCTCTAAAAATGTGTATGAATCTCAAAATAATTATTGGGCAGACTTGAAAAAAAGGTTTCAAATTTGAATCTCCACAGACCTTTAGGAAAAGCCCTGAAAATGATACCCATACTCTCATTTTATATACAAAATGCATGTTTTATGAAGCCAAAATTCACTTGTATATGCAAAATAGTATCTGTATAGGAATTTAAAAAAACAACACTTAATAGGGAATTTCAGCAATCTCAGACTACCTCTACTGCATCCCAATTCCCCTCTTCTGAAAGCACTGTTAGGTGTTTTAATTATCAGTACGGTGTATTATTGTTCACTTTAAACACTATCTCTGACATTTTTTAGTTATGTATATACATACATGTATTACCTAGAACTATATGTAACAAATTTCTTTTTGGCAGGTTAGTAGATGTTAAACCAAGTGTTTGATAAGTGTTTTCTTATGGTTGATTAAACAAATTACTCCTACATTACATATCAGTTTCAATCATTCAGTTTAGGCATAGCATGAATTATCAGTGCCATACTCCACATTTTGACAGTCACCCATAATTAAATTTGTATTCACCATGTCTGACAGGAGTTTGGCGATGCAGACTGCCACCTGTTAAATTCATTTATATTGTTAGTATTGGCGCTGAATGTCACAGATGGTGATATTCATCCTGCAACTCATGCTTTAAGTAAAGATCAAAACAAAATTAGCTTTGAGCGTAACAAAAGGCTGTGAGCCGGTGCTTTCTCCTTCTGTGGCTCCTGTGGCTACAGAAGCCTTGCAAAATCATTTCACCCTTTCTGTTAGTTGTACAGCTCCTTCCCACATAAATTAGTTCTCTCCTTATATGTGTATTTTGGATATTTTTATTGTTTCTGTCTGGTTGTTTCAAGTGTTCTCTGGGAATTCTTTTTTTTCTTTTAAAAAAGATGACTAAAACCAATCCTTCTCTATTTTGTTCCCTCATGCTGCAGAGAGGGACAGCTGATGCTCAGAAGTTTCCCTATGAGTCAAGAAACCTGGGAAGCTGTAAACAGCCAAACCTTAATATGACAGGAATGTACAAAATTCAAAGATTTCCATAATACAGAAATGGGCAGAAAAAGGAATATATAGCATGAAGGAAAAGAGATGATGCTGTTTGGTATGATCATAAGTGCCTTAATATAGTACAACAGGGATGAAGGAGCACCACAGCTTGACGATTTGGATTGTTTCTTGAAGCTTTTCAGCTAAGATCTGGTTGCAGACTGCAGTAAAAGAACCTGGCAGTTTTGGCAATCTGTACCCAAAATGGCAGGGTGGCAAAGAGAAGGCTGCACAAGACTGTGAAAGCTCCACCTCCCATCTGTGAAAACTGCTGCTCTTTTGTTGATTTAATGTAAGTTGTTAGCATTCAAAGATATGTTAAATTAACATTTAAACAAAAATACTACAGAACAGCTACAGGTGGAAAATTCCTGTAATATACTGGAAACTGACAATTTTTGAGAGAGTTAAAGTGAATGTTCCTGTTCTCATAAAAATGCTAATGTAGAAATTGAAATATAATCCCTCTTTCAGACTCATTTTCCTGTTCATTTTTTTTGAAGGCTATTATTGCAATAACTTACCACAAAGTCAGTACAGCAGAGGATTGGCTCCTTTGAGGTTCAACAACACTTTGGTCCCCAAAACACCACATAGCACTAGGAGGTCAGAATCACTGTCAAGAATAAACTACTCACAACTTTGGATACTAATATCTTTTATGAGGTACAGTGACACAAACCAAGCCAATTTTACTGGAAGATCAGTATTAAACAGAGATTGTTTCATGGTGTGCATGTCTGTGCATGCAGTGGGAAATGATACTATTGTCAGCTGAAAAATAAGTTGCAAATATGCAAGGGTATGACACAGCATTGCTCTAATAATCCCCTTTACAACTTACTTTACATCTCCCAAGACGTATGGGTGGCATCATACCAAACCCATAGATTACTTTAGACAGCTGTCTGTAACCTGCTCTGTTGGATTACATTTGCATCAACACAACTTGAAGCAATGAACAAATTAATAAAGTTACAAATCAGTAAGATTGACATACATTTGCATAATACCTCTAAATGAGTTTCTGGTCCATACATGTCCCATATTTTTCTTCTCCTCACATCAATTCCTCTACCTGAATGCTGAAATATTTGAACAACAAAAGTATAATTTTTAAGTACCACTTTCACCAGAAGTTGTCAAACAGGCTCACTAAATGTATAGATTAACACTGATTATTTCACTCACACTAAAATTTAGACACATAATGAAACATAGTTTCACCATTTCAGGCAGAAGCTGAATACTTTTAATCCCTCATTTCCCTTCAAAATATGAAGGGAAAGACTAGGAACCATTAAGAATATATCTGGTTTGAAATTAT